AAAATCAAGTAATGCAGATATTGAAATGAATCCTCTTTAGCATATTCAATCTCAATTACAATCAATTCCAAATCTTTACAAAGCCCTAACCTCTATTTTACAGAAATGCTCAAGACACTTTGATTGATTTTGAAGTATGTAACTTAAAGTTAGAGTAATAGAATTTCATTATTAAAAATAAAAAAGAAAATGCAAGGCTCTTTTTAAGTGAAGGAATCTCTAGCTGACATCTTTGATTAAGTAAAAGATGTAGATATACAAATCTTTTGGGTTATATTAGAGATATTTCGAAAGGAAAAAGTTTAAGACTGCATTGGATATCTATCAGATATGGTGAATCAGAGACAATTAGAATCATAAATTTTACATCAAGAAGGAAATTTCACCCGAGCTGAAACAGAATAGAAATTTTCTGTTATTGGAAATGATATTAAGTAAATTTCAGATGTTTTAAGAAAATTAAAAGATCATGACTTCAATTACAAAGACCTTTCCTCTGAAGAAAATGAAGAATCTACATTAAGTCTTATTAAAAGCATCAAGGATAATAGAACGATCAATTAATTTCTTCAATTTTTAGTTCAACTCACTTCCATAAATGACACTTTAATATAATGTGGGTCTAATTCATTAAATTTATTAGTTTAAATGCAGGTGAATCTTAGAAACAAAAATTTTGAAAACATTAAAATTTAAAATACTTCTTTAAAGGAAGCTAATTTTGTTAGGTGTATTTTCAGTGGATCCTAATTTTATAATGTTAATATTAGTGGAATTAATTTGAATGGAGCGGTATTATTGAATTGTAAATGGAAGAATTTAAGAATCCATCATGAATTAAATACATTAAATGGTCATAGTGGTAGTGTGAGTTCAGTCTGTTTCTCTCCTGATGGAAATACATTAGCTACTTGTAGTTATGATGGGTCTATCTGTCTATGGGATGTCAAAACAGGATAATAAAAAGTCAAATTATATGGTCATTAATATTAAGTCCATTCAGTTTGTTTCTCTCCTGATGGAAATACATTAGCTTCTAGCAGTTGTGATACCTCTATCTTATTATGGGATGCTAAAACTAAGAAAAAAATAGTCAAATTGGATGGTCATTAATATTAAGTCTACTCAGTCTGTTTCTCTCCTGATGGAAATACATTAGCTTCTAGCAGTTGTGATAAGTCTATCCGTCTATGGGATGTCAAAACGGGAAAATAAAAAGTCAAATTATATGGTCATTAATAATAAGTCTACTCAGTCTGTTTCTCTCCTGATGGAAATACATTAGCTTCTGGTAGT